TGTGCAAATGTTATGGCACGTAGTGATGACATACACTAAATATAGATCCCTGGGCAAGCAGATGAATTATTAGGGGTGACTTTTATAAACTAACTGATTAGATAAAGCATTATGGGATGTAAGAATAAACCACGATAACACCATGCAGCCCAGCTACAAGTGAAACACTGTATTTTTTTTACCTTGGCTGCCAAAAGACAATAGCGGAGAATAATGTAATTTACTGTAACTAAACTTAATTTAAAATGATTGCAACTGGTGTAACTGGGACCTTGAGTACATAATTTCCTTCCACCTCATGTTCCACGTGTGATGCAAATGACATTAAAGAAACTTGAACTTGAAACAACCAAACGACCTATAAAAAAGCATACATGGGTGTGACTCTGTCATTTTTAAAGATACTAGCCTAAAATGAGGTGCATTAGTACCATAAATGAGTTTGATCACTAACAAATTCTTGAAGAAACAACAGATGGCACAGGAACTTTGAGTACAATTTTGCTGTAAACTATCAGTCAAGTCTGTTGGAAAAATATCTTATGAACCATAAAACAGATTTTAACAAGAGTTTCACAAAATAATATTTGAATGGAACGCTACAACAGATTACGTTTTGGAGCAAGCCTAACTCAAAATGGCCACTACAACCACCTGACCTTAGAAAACACAAACAAAACTTGTAAGTTAGTCAATTTAACAAATATGCTAAAATTTGGTGTAATTGCAGCTGAGAGTAAGTCACAAGACAAACGCAAGTTTTACTCGTTGCACAAAATCTTTACTTAAAACTTTGGCATTGCCTGTGGGCATCATCGAGGTTAGTTTGGTAGCAAAATATTTAATAAATGACAGACAGACTCTATTAAAACTTTCAAAAAAGTAATTGTTGTTTATATGTCAAAGTTCATGCTCAATAATCCAGGTATAAAACCCAACAATGCTCAGTCAGATCATCTGGATGTTTTCTTAGCGTCAGCAAACCGTTTTTTTTTTCTGCTTTGGACTATGCTGCTTGTGGGAATCAGTTTTGTTTGGTGGCTTCTCAGATTGAGGAAGTCCTTTGGATGAAGGCTGTAATGTCTCAGCACAAAAAAATAAATAAAATAAAATAAAAAAGAAACCGTCCAGATGACCTGACTGAACATTGATTATATGTTTACAAATGATTGACTTATGGAGTCAAATCAGTTCAAGGTGATCATCACAGCTAATTAACCTTGATAAAATTTGATGTAGTAGTAGCTGAGTCATTCAAAACACACCAGTAAAGCATGACATCTGGTAATGTCTCGTGAGATATTCAAGATTTGACTTAAATGGCTACAATTCTGTCATTTCTCAACATAAAATGATCATAGTCTAAAACTCTAGCATGAAAACAAATGGGTGATATTAATTAAAGATGCTGGGCTTTAAATTCAAACTTTTCTCTCCTTTATTTGAGACAAATAGTGAGGAAAATAAAACAAGAAGAAATGTAAGAAATGTTGCAGGTAAAGAAGGCAAATGTAAAAATGTATAGTCAATATCTAATTCCTCTGCAGAGCTGATCATTTTCCCTTACACTATGTGCTTGTTAAAGCAACTGCAGCCGTTCAAAGTGAAAACAAAAAAGTATTTTATTTTATTTTTTTTTGTCCGCGGGGAATGAACATAGGACACTGACATGGTCAGTTGCCGTCAAGATTAATGGCAAATGGTTATTGGAGCATCCATTATTATTTTTCATATCACTGAGTAATGTCTGCATTCTTTTCCTTCAAGCAAGTTCATTACTTGTTAATAAGAAACATATTACCTCTCATTGAAAATTCATGAGGCAAAAAGGACTTTTAAATAACTCATATGACAAATAGACTTGCTTAAAGGGGTTTTCATAATGTCTGTCCACTTCTCGCTGGTTTCACATTAAATTATAATATCACCTTTACATATGTATGAAAAACCATGAGACTTCTTGCTGTGCTGCATTTCATTGTTAACTTTTTTGTGTTTCCTAAGTGGCAAAATATGTATTTTCTTGTTCTTTTTTTCTTATTTTCATTTTAATAGTGTGAATGCTAAGCATTCACACTATTGTTTTCCTGTTTATATTTATTATTCCTGGCAGTTACTATCCCTATTCCGTACATTTTTCAGAGAAATTCTTGTCCTGCATTTTTTTAAGCTATTTCAGTGATTTAGGTATCAAAATGTTCAGCTCTTGCAAGACAATCCTGCCATTACTTTTGAAATTGGTGCAACTTTAGCTTTTTATAATATTTAGCCTTTTCTGCCATTTTTTTCTCACATAAAATGAATTGAGCTCATTTTACATCCTTCAAATCTTTAGATCTGTTTACAACCTTTTACAGCTCCTTTCACATTTTGTTCTGGTTCAGCTTCTTTCAGCTTCCTTGTGTAATTTTAAACATTTTTGTTCAGTTACTTTCAGCTACATTCTGCAGGTTTTTCAGCTATTTTGTGCTCTTTTCAGGATGTTTCTGCTAACTACAACATTTTTGTGCTTCTTCTAACTTATTTCTGCTCATTTCAGCTTGTTACGCTCCATTCAGCTTATTTATGTAAGTTTCAGCATTTCAAGGTTCAAGGTTCTTTATTGTCATTCGCATCACATGTGGTGCATGAGGTGAAATGAAATTGTGTCCTCAAGGTCCCAGTTACATCCAAAAATAGCAAAAATATAAACCGTATATAAGGATCTAACATATACACTAAACACTAATAATGTAAAATAATATGGTATATTAAACAGCAGCTTGAACATGTTTTTTTGATATTTCAGCTACTATTTAGCTGTTTTTATACTAATTTAAAAAAAATTCCAGTTAATTCTACATTTTTGCATTCATTTAAACTTTTTCAGCCCAATTCAGCAAAAATGTGCTCTCTCTACTTCTTTCTGGTGATTTAAACTTCTTTCTGCCCTTTTAGCTACTTTTCAGCAGTTTTTTGCTAATTTCGTTTTCTTTATTTCTTTTATTTATTTATTTATTTCAGAAAATGGCCACTTTTTTGTGCTTATTTCTGCTTCTTTCAGCCTAACTGGGCAAACGTGTTCTTTCTGCTTTCTTCTGATAATTTAAGCTTGGTTTACATTTTCAGCTACCTTTTTAGCATATTTTTAGCTAATTTCAGCTGATTTCAGATAAGTTCAAGTTTTTCGTGGTAATTTCTGCTACTTTCAGCATAATTAAGTTGTTTCTGCTTGCTATTCTCCTTTCAAAATTTTCAATAGTTTCAGCTATTTCTGCTATTTCAGCTACTATTTAGTTGTTTTTATGATAATTTTAGCTTTTTTTTCCCCACATTTTTTAGCTCATTTAAGCTTTTCCCACTTCCTTCAGGCAGTTTAAGCTTTAAGCTTTTCAGCTACTTTTCAGATATTTCTTGCTAATTTCAGGGTTTTTTAAGCTAATATGCTATTTTTGTGCTAATTTCTGCTTATTTAAACCTAATGCAGCAAATATGAGTTATTTTAGCTTTTTTCTGCTAATTTAGGCTCATTCTTCAATTTCAGCAACATTTCAGCAGGTTTTAAGTTAATTTCAGCTGTTTTTCAGCATGTTCTTCTGCAATAAGCATTCACACTGCATTTTCGCAGGAAATGCAATTTCTCCAGTTTGACTTAACTGTAAAATACTTTGGTCAGCTTCTATTGATTTTCTGTGCTATATAAATAAATGGACATTTAGGATAATTTCATCTGGTCGGTTCTTGAACAAATTACACAATCTGATGTTGTTTAAGAAAGATATTTTCTCATTGAGTTGAATAAGCATAAAAATAGACAAATAAAAACCACGCTAAGCTCATGGAGCTAAGGATATCAGGTGACCCAGTAATGTAGGATTTCCCTCATCGTTTTTATAATGAGAGGCAGAGATACAAGAACTGGAAGGGAAAAAAAGGTTCTACTTGAATAACTGCTCAATATTAAAAAAAATAAAATAAATTGCTAACACCTTTTTATCTAGAGAGCTAAGCAAATGTTTTGCATGAGATGATGGCCTTTCACTTTCCCCCCTAAACTGTAGCAACAGGAAGGACATTCTGCAGTTTTAAATAAAGTGTACTTATCGTAGCTTCAGTAAAATGTTTGGAAGATACAGGTCCTAAATTCTCATTCACAAGATGTTTTACTAACAATGGAAATATATTCTGAAGGAACTGCCTCCAGATAAACTTGGCAATGGATTAAAACAGCAGCTTTCAACAGCATGGTGTCTTCAAGTGTTTGTTTGGTTTTAGAAAGTGAAATTAAACATAAAATTAAACGCAATTCTGTAATGTTTTGGGGGAAATAAAGAAAGTAAAATAAACCAGAAAATGTGCCTTTTCATTAAAAAATGGTGTGTTGAATGACTTGTTAAAATTAAAACAAGCAGAACAGAAGCTAAAAACCATCCAAACTGTAACTTAAAGCTAAAATGAGCAAAAAATGTTGCTAAAAGCTAAATTGATCAAAACTGTAGATAAAAGCTATCATTAGCGGAAATGGGTTGAATCTAAATTTAGCCAATCATAGCTAAATGCTAAAACTAGCGTACTAAACCATGATTAAAAGCAAAAAATAATCAAAACGAATTCTAAAACATAGAGGTAAAAAAAAAAACAGTATCTAAAAGCTACAATTAGTAAAACTAGACAAAAGCTCAAAAAAGACAAAACGGAACAAGTATGCTAAAGTTGATTTAATAAAAAATAAAAAAATCTTCAAGAAATTTGAGAAAATTAAATGTACTCATAGTTTTTTTGTAAATGAAGTTACATAATGTAAAAAAAAAGTATAAAAAATTACAAATACTAAAAGAGATGGATCACTTTCATTTGAGCTGAATGTTTTGATTTATGAACGTTTAAAATAGCACAAACTATGCTGGAGCTTGATTTCAATAAAAAGTTTGAAAGAAACTATAAACTAGCATTCACTCAAAAACAACCTATTGTCCTCACTGGTTTATAATTGAAACAGCTGATTCATTTTATCCACTCACCCCTTTGCAGATGGAGACAGCTTCCTTTGACATAGATTTTGCGTAGGATACATTGTGCTCCATGATGGACTGAAACAACTCGTCTTCATCCTCACCATCAAATGGAGGCTGTGGATAGAAAGGCACAAAATCCAGGATTTAGAATTTCACCTTTTGATACAGAAAACATGGGGTTGAAACAACAAAACAAGGATTTAACAGCAAAAACACTTTAACTTCTTTGCTGTAAAGCAGATGCAAATTTTGTGAGATTTGTTCTATTTTTGGTAAGTAAACTGTTTACATGAGGTTAGCTGAGTACCATGACAAAGTATAACTAAATGGGATGAAAACCAGCCAGAAAAAGAATAATAAAAATAAAAAGTACCAAAAATAATTAAAACAACCTCCCATTAAATTACATTTCATAAAAAATGCTTGTAGGGCCAGTGGAGTGGATGACCCAGCTTTCCCCCTCTTTGCTGGGTCGTTATCATTAATAATGATATAACTATGATATGGGTGTTTTGACAGCCCGTAAAATGAATTATTTGTCACTTCCCCTCCACTGGCCACCAATGAATGGAGATAGGCTGTCTGCATAACACGATACATCTTGCTCTGATAGAGCATTTTGACCATTTCTTTGTGTAACAGAGGTCATGTCAACAATAATGTTTAAATATATTTTTATAAGGCAAAATTTCAAAAGTATATTCATTTTTTTATGATTTTGTTCATTTTTTTTCTAGTAATTATTTTATGTTCTTTGACACATATTTAAAAACATCAAATAATTTTAAAATAAGAATTTGTTTAGAAAAACATCTTAATATACAGTAATATTATATAAACAAATCAGTTGTGACGTTGATTTAATTAACACTAGGTAATAGTACAGAAAAATATTTATATTTCTAATAATAGAAAAGCAACAAACTGGTGTATATCCTCAGGATACCGCATTTTTTTATATTTTTAACCTTTTTTTTCTTTTACAAGCTTGTAGATTATCGATTTGTTCACTTGAACTGCTAAGAAGAAGTCAGCATTGAAAGTTTTACGTATTTCCTAGAAGTAGAACATGCTGCATTTTGGAAAAAATAAAGAAATGGAAAAAAAAGGTATTCTAATGAGAAAAGACCATATGGCAATTATTTATGCAGGGCTAACACACTCCAATTTGCCTAAAGTTTGCATGATGGAATAAAATGCACCATTTTGTGGATGCTTACTCACCTGCCCAGCAAGCATCTCGTAGAGCAGAACTCCATACGCCCACCAGTCTACAGATCGCCCATATGGCTGATATGCAATTATCTGTGCGGGAATGAAGAAAAAAGTTTTCAGGCACTTCACTAAGTTCAACTCAAATGTCAGCAAAAATACTGGAGGTCAGGTCTGTACTATTAGAGCAACTCTGAATTGACAAATAAATTTTACAACAAACTTCTCTTAATAAAGTTATACTGTATATGAAATGCTGACTAGAAGAACCTTTTTAAAATCCATTTGCCCTTTAAGCCACTACATATGAATATAAAGTTTTACAGCAACCTTAAAAATTCTGTTTAGAGGATTAAAATGTGACAGACAACTAGCACTGTTCCCTTTATATCTATTAGACTCAGAGGAGGTGACTTTTAAAGCGTGTGGCTGACATGGAGTGACAACCCAGGAAACCTGGATATCCCTATTTGCCTTCGTTTTAAAGCACTTGTAGCAATCAATTTCATATTCACCACGGTTGAGGAAAAAAATGATAGGAAACCTAAACTTTCTGACTGCATAGGAGCAGCTGGTGCATATGAAGGGAGAGGACAACAAATCATGAACGTCTCAAATCATTTTCAAGTACTATGTAAAAACTGAAGCTGTGGTTGAAACTGTTACATTTCAAAACAAAACTAAATTGAAAAGACAGAAGTTTCTCCTTCTTTCCGATGTTATGATCACTTGGGATTGCTACATCTACCACCACTGTCTTCTTCTCTTGCTTGTCAATCACCACAATGTTCGGTTAGTTAGCTATCACCTGTTTGTCAGTCTGGATCTCAAACTTCCACAGTATCTAAGCCCGTCCATTCTCCACCATTCTTGGTGGCATCTCCCACTTTGACTCAAGGAACTCCAGTTCGTACTCGGCGCAGATATTCCTGTGTTTTAATCCAGCCACTTGGTTGTGGTAGTCCATGTATGCTTTGCCTGCCTGGATCTTACACCATGCTATTTTGTGTTGAACTGTTTCAGGGGCGTATTTGCATAGCCTGTATCTTGAGTCTTGTCTGGTATGGTAGAACCTGGCCTCTATTGCTCTTGCGCTACCATGATTAGTGCCTCTGTGCTGGCCTTCATTCCACCCGTCTCTAGTCATTGGTGGGATTTGTTGATATCAGCTACTTCCTCAATCTGCCAGTGGTACATGTTGTGTAGGGTCTTATCTTTACATGATTTTATGGTTCCTCTTGTTCTTCCTCTTTGGCATAGGGTTTCAGTTGCTGCCTGATACATTCACTCATCAGTTCATCATTGAGGATTTTCCTGCTGGTGTACTCCAGAATCTTAGTTGCTTCATTTTGGATTGTTGCTCAGACATTCACTAGTCCTTTGCCTCCCTCCTTTCTCTTTGTGTATAGTCTCAGGGTACTGGACTTGGGGTGAAACCCTCCATGCATTGTGAGGAACATTTGAATCTTGATGTCAGTGGCTTCTATCTTCTCCTTTTGACAAGCTATACTAACAGCTGGGTATCTGATGAATGGAACTGCTTATGTGTTGATGGCTCAGACTTTGTTCTTGTGTTTAGCTGACTCTTCAGGATCTACCTTACTCTCTGTAGGTACTTGGTTGTAGCTGACTTTCTTGAGGCCATGATTGCCATTTGCTTGTGGGATTCCAAGGTATTTTTATGTAACTGTCCTGGACATCTACAATGTTGCCTTCAGGTAGTTCAATCCCTTTAGTTGCGATCACCTTGCTTCTCCTGCATACCATTTGACTGCATTTATCCTGTCTGAATGACATTTCAATGTCCTTGATGTATATCCTGGTGAGGTGGATCAGCGAGTCAATGTCTTGCTCATTTTTGGCAAACATTGTGTTGTCCTTGTAGAGGAGGTGAATGATGATTTTTCTGCTTTGGAACTGGCATTCACAGCCACTCTTTGCAATGATCTGGTTGAGGGGATTCAGGCCTATGCAGAACAGGAGTGGGGGCAGTGCATCACTTTGGTATATGCCACATTGACTTGCACAAATGGCTTTGAATTAGCCACTAGAGTTTTCTTCTACATTCCCATTGAATTATGATAAAGGCTCTTAATGCCCTGTTGATGTTGTACAGTTTCAAGCAGTCCAGTATCCATGTGTGTGGCATCAAAATTTGATTGAAAAGAAATAGGCACCTTTTCAGATTACTTGCCTTTTAAGCTACATTTTGATACCTAGATCATCTTGATATCATGAGTAGTTCCAGAGACTTGATTTGTCTTGCTAATCAGTACAACTCTGAAAAAGCAGTCAGAATCCTAGTTTTAGCATTCTCTATTGAGGATTTCTTAACATTATTTAAGAGGAAACTTCAATCCATTTTTGATATTGAAATTTCCCTGTTTGTATTGAAAACAGCTTTGCTAGCTTGCAGTAAAAGTAGTATAAATTTAGGGCTTTTCTGTTCAAATCATCGTTAGCTGTTGGTGCTGCTCAGAAAAAAAAAATCAAAAACATTATTTAGGCTTATAGTTCAGTCAAGGGACCCACTGATAACGTTTATTCATCAACTTTTGACAAAATACAATTATTACATTATCCATTTATATCACCTTGTGACTTGACCTTCAGTCTGATGTGATGGGTCATATACGGTATAGTGATGCTTCCCAGATATTTACACATCCAACCAACATTTTAAGAAATGTATCAGCAAGACATCTATAGATGCATTCATGCAAAAGATGCATTTGCACTCAAATGAATGCATCCCAAATTTTCAACAAAACAGAACAACACTAGGTGTGTCACATTAGTACAGCCATAGATTGCTTCAAGCCTTCTCATTTGACCTCTGTTGCATACCAGCAGCCCACACCTCCAGGTCAGTAACTTGGGCAAACAAACATGAGCATGAGAGGAGAATAATTCAAAGTAAATACAAAATGCATCCATGTGCTTGACTACACATAAACAAGAGAATATGTATACAGCCAGTTAGCAAGGTCTGTGGAAGCAGATTTGCTTTATGTATCACAGCCTTTACTGAATTGGACCTGACCTCTGCTGTTCCCCTGGGGCTCCTTAAATGCACACAAATACACACAGGCAGACTCCTACAGCCATTGTTCTGTCCTGGGGGTTGATGGAGGGACAGTTGGAAATGCATTATATCCATATGTTTAAAAGTAAGCACGTGTACAACATAATGATTTCATATACAGATTATGTTACAAATTGTAATAGTTTTAGTAGAAGAAATACATTCAGTATCACAGACTATTCAAATTTTTCTTTTGGCTGCTGCTTTTTTGGCATGTGTCCTGAAACAGACATTTACTCCTATCACATTGCGATGCACTGCACTCTGAAGTGGAGAGCCTCACTATGGTAGCTGTCGTTGAGGAACTGAGAATGAGCTGACACACAAAAGAGCAACTGATGCAACTTCAGAAAGTCCAGGGTATGGGAGAGAAACGGTGACTGGAGTTCAGATGAAGAATCTCAAACAGCATCAGTAGCATCTTTTCCTACATCTATTTTCTTAGTTGGTTTAGTTTTTTATGAACATATTTTTCTTCTTCTTTTGGCTTTTCCCTTTTCAAGGGTCGCCACAGCGAGTTATCCTCCTCCATCTCACTCTGTCCTCTGCATTCTCTGTCCTCACTCCAACTATCTTCATGTCCTCTCTAACTGCATCCAAATATCTCCTCTTTGTCTTTTTCCTGGCAGCTGCATTTCTAACATCCTTCTACCATACCCACTGTCCCTCCTCTGGACATGTCCAAGCCATCTCAGTCTGGCCTCCCTAACTTTATCTATCAGTTGTTCAACCTGTGCAGTACCTCTGATGATCTTATTCCTAATCTTATCCATCCTTTTCCCTCCTAAGGAGAACCTCAACATCTTCATTTCTGCTACTTCCAGTTCTTTCTCCTATCTTTTTGTCAATGCCACTGTCTCCAAACCATACAACATAGTTGGTCTCACAACTTTTCAACAAATTTTATGAACATATTAATACATTATCTTAGATCATAATGAACTGTATTATTTGTTAAACTTAGTGCAATGACAAATATAGGAAAAGTGACTGACAGCTTTAATGTGGTAAATTACAGGAGGATGCACTGAATAAAGGCTATACAAGGAAATCTATATAGGAATTTTGTATTTAAAACTTCATTTAAAATACTATCTATTTATCTCCCAATGCAATTTAATAATGTATTCAGTACCTACAAATTCTTAGCTTCGTAAACTGAAAGCATAAAACAAACAGATCTAACTCGCTCTAGGTCTCTTCACCTCAGAACTAATTTAAACCTAATACAACAACAGACGTTAAAACAATTTCACCCTGTGTACACATGACACACATTTAATGAGGAGAGACAAGCTGTTTTAAAAACCGCTGAATTGCTAAGAGGAAAGTTTTCATACAACAGGGTGAAGTAGGCTAATGCTCGACAGCATGTCACTGAGGTCCTTTGCTGCGACATGGCACATTTGGTGCACTGTGTCACTGAAATTTGACCTCGGAATCTCTCTAGCAAAACTGTGTGCAACGGGGGATTTAAACGTGGAAAGCATTTAGACACATCAGGTCAATGCAGTAAAAGGAGATGCAGCACTGATGTCGGCTTGTGTAACGGAAATAATGATTTAAAAAGGATAAAGAGAAACAGAACAATATGGAACAAAATATGGTATATTTTGTTTTCTTACAATAAGGATAATTTTAAATGACTACCCCCAACCATCAACACCAACAAAAAAAGTTAACTCAAACTTGAAAATCCACAGTGACACCAAAACTTAAATAAAAAGCTATGGTGACAAATAGTTGATAGCCAGGATAAACTACAGTATAGTAATATGTATGTAGCTAAATTTGTTTACTCTTCCAAAATAAATATAAAGTATGTTTTGTGTTTTTTTCTCCATAATCATATTCTTAAGTCATAAATGTGATGCTTTATTAGATCTAATAATATGTAGGGATGCACCGATCCACTTTTTTTACTACCGATCCGATCCCGATACCTAGACCTGAGTATCGGCCGATACCGATCCAGTTCCGATATCATGATCATCAGTGATTTTATATG